AGTTTCAATCGACATGAGGTACGCCAAAAAGGATGACGGTAGCAGACGATTTACTATGGATGAATATTTGTCTGCGCAGCAAATTAAATCCTATTTTTCAAGAACTGCCTCGAAACTGAGGAAACTCGATGAAGCTGATTAACAGGCCTTGGCAGAACAGGAGGAATACCAGAATGTTCGTGACGGCGTCATCTTAGAGTGCCAACTTGTCCACCCAATTATGTACGACACGCATAACATCTGTGAACTTCAGTCATCTGGAAACCTCAAAAAGAAATATAGTGTTGCCATGCTCCATACAGTATGTGAGTATTTTGGAATTGATGAGAAGAGAAGAGAACAAGGTTCAAGGACCCTATATTGAACTCACTTCAGATCTTGTTAAGTCTTGTACATGTAGCTATTTATACAATGTTATACAGTTGGTTTTCAAGGCATTATGTGGTAAGTGTACGCAAATTACCTTTATCCGGCGTACATCTCAAAACGAATAATTTACAATTAGTTACCTAATTGCATCTTCGATTTGTGAAATACAAGGCACTAGGTAATCCTTTCGTTTGCTTGTCTCGAGCATGAAAGAAATTGAATTCACCTACGCCTCTTTTGCAGTTGTTGTGTGTGTGTCGAATTAGAAATATCACTCACACACGCCTGCAAAGTCACCTGAGGATAGGATTGTTATAAAATGAAAACAGTTTTGAAACAAGCTGTGAATCTAACTACAGCGGTATTGTTAGTATAGTAAACTTGCTTCAAAACATCAAAAACATAAATATTCATAATATGGATACACTTCACGCTAAAGTCATAAAGTCATGAAGTCGTTTTATTTCTTAATTCTTATTAAAATAACATCCTTTAGAAGCGAGGTAACACAATCCACCGTAAATTGTATCAAACTGGAGGTTTTGAAGGAGATTAAAGAGAATGTTTTAAGTATAGCGCGATGTTTACATCGCTGATCAATACAATGTCAAGCAAAGGTCAAAGACTTGTTTCTATCGGACCAGAATATTGCTGGAATTCCAGGTAAATACTTCCAAAATTACAACCAATTGTTGTGTTGTTGATTTTTGTTATTCCTCGAGGACATTTAGCCTGTTAGAGTCTGATTTGATAACAATCTCTTCACAAACAGCACTTGCTATATCTGTTGTCAAGCTAGTCATTTGAATATAACGGCACTGAAACAACACTTACATTTGGCKTTCTTACTTATATTTGATTTTAAGTAGCCCAAAAATTTTATTCGATCATTTTAAGAGTGAGTGTCCGTAACGATCAAACAAAATCGAAAATCCGTGGCAACGGCTGAAAAATCGATTTCGCTCATATTTTGTAGGTAGGTAGAGGAATGTTTCCTAAKAATCCCTATGTATTTGGTTTGCTTCAATTTTGCAATAAAACTGAGAAAATCGACTTTTTCTAGAGTCACCTCGAAATGTCGATATTCGTTGTCGATTTTGGCTTGACTTTATGAAGCTCTAAATAAACACCAAGTAACGCAAACAGAAAAATACCTTTGAGCCTTTGTACCACCACACTTTGTTTATGAATAGCGTGACTTTGAGCGTGGTTAACGGATTAAAACATATTGAAATCGTTATTTTCCCTAGAGATGTATTTTAAGTCGCAAAAAAGTAGGGTGAACAAACTGGCTAACTGCGAATTTGCGAAACCTTTAAAGCTCATGAAATCTGGATATTTTGTAGTTCTAACAATGTACTTTAAGAAGTTTGAATCAAATCTTTGGGCAATTGTTTTGAAGTACGCGAATTAAGCTCTC